CCGCACACAGAGAAGGGCTCACGCATGGGGCGGAGCCAGCCCTTGCCCTGGTCTTGGGTCCCCAGGCTTCAGATCCATGAACTTCCCACTCCAGGGTATTTTATGTTAGCAGCCCAACTGGACTAAGCCTAAGTAAGGTTCTCACACCTACTGAACCTGTAAGATGGCAGAGGAGATAACAGATGGTCCTTACTAGAAATTCCTGACCATCGCAGAGAAGGCCAAAGGAAACAAACCAACAATGAAAAGTAAAAGACGCATTGGCCGTGACTCATCCACATGGCTGCACTGATGAAGGTTCTACAATCTGAGGTACAGGATCTCAGGACAAATCCTGAGGGCATTTCACTGACCTTCTCAGACCAAAAAGCTACAACTCTTGTTGCATAGGTCCTGCTTTACCTTGGTCTTAACCATCCAGTAGAAAAGTATGATGTCGAAATATAAGAAATAAAGCCATGCTGTTGGGTTGAGCTGTGGGGGACTCAGGTCAATAATTTCTGACATTGCCAGTTAAATATAAGACCCAATGCTATTATGGGCTACTGGACTCTTTTAGAATATTTTGCTGAGTTTACACACCTATAATATTCAATAACGGAACTTAGGAAAAATGGGGTATACCGATGAATGTCCATTTTGTATATGTGTATTCAAAGAGGTTGGGATAGATATATAGTTGTATTCTCTTAATGAATAGAATGATTTGTTCTAATGGTGTTTGTAAATGGGATCACAAGTCCGCATCTTGTAGAGCAATTAACCACTAAGAAGAATATATGCAGTGTATTATTTGTTGAAACTGTCCTTCCGATATGATTTGAAACTGTCTCATTGCTATCTGTTTGTCAATAAAACTTTGAGAAAAAAAAAAAAAAAAAGAAAAGTAAAAGACACTGTCCTCCATTCAAGCACACTGGGAGGCTGCGCGTGGGCGGCACCACGCCCTGGGCTCGCAGGGGAAGACCTCGGGGGAGGTGGCATCTGCTTGGGCAGCCATGGGCAGCAAGTCAGGCGCTTTCAGCTGAATTCTGTGGAAGTGGGTCATGTGCCGGTCCACGGCAGTAGGAAAGAGCCTCTCCTACATGACCTCATTCAACTCAGCAAGCAGACACAACGTCCGTTGGCGGAGCACCGCGACGGCAGCTGTCCTTTCTGGCTGTCCAAATGGGCCACGAGCTGCAGACACAGCTCAGAAGCGGCTGGAGATGCGTGCGTGCCCCACATTATGCGCCGTGGGCCTGGCTGTTGGTGACCACAGCCCTGTGGGTGCAGGCAAGGGCTGCTGCACCGAAGAGAACAAGAGCTTGCTTTCTTCTCTCCTCACGGCCACCCCCACAGAATCTCGCAAACATATACACATACAAATTGACAATGACCTGAACAGTCACAAAACTAGAGATTTTTTTAGATGAAGGTGCTATTTACAAATCAGTTGTTTTTTTTTTTTTTTTTTTTTAAACCTTGGCATTTATTTAACTTCCGGGTCTCAAACACAGATATCAGCACAGAAGACAATATTTATGTCTCTGAGTCCTTATTATACTGCATTATGAGGCCACAAATGGCATTAAAAGAATTTTGCACATAAGTCAAGTCTCGCTGGAAGCATGTGGTGGGCACAGTGGCTGGGGTGCCCACTGGATTTGCTTTCTGAACCTTAACTTGTATTTCAGGTCTCTGCCTCTCCAGCTGAGCTCTGTGATTGTGGGTTCCCTGCACTCCCTCCTCTGGACTCTGGGGACCGCATGTCCTAGTCTTACCAGGATCCTGTTCTGAGGCCAGGGACCCCCAGGGACCCCTACATGCAGTTGGTGGATCCAGTCCAGCAAAGTGAGGACTCTCGCCACCCGGGGTGCCAGCGGGACACCCCTGCCCCGGCTCTGCTCGCCACCTCACTATGCCTACCAGCACCCTCCTCTTCCACACTCTGAGCCCACACAGGCATCTCGCTCAGGCCAGGGAGCCAGGAGGCCAGCTGTGGACCTCTCTGCTCCTGCTCTGCTTCTCTGGCTCTGGAGTGTAGCACAAGTCCCTGCTAGCTGGAGGTTTCCAGGCCCCTCCAAGCTTCACACCTGATGAGGGCTTGGCTCTCCACAGAGTGGTTGTCAAGGAGGTGCACACCTCTGAAGCCCCTTCTCACCTGAACTCCAGGCCCCCTGCAGTCACACTCCAGGCTGGGGTTCTCAGGAGAAAGGGTGTCGAGACTGTCTCCAACCCTGCTCTTCTGAAAGCCTCTTCGCCTCTCCTTCATCAGCAGTGGGGCCCCTGGCCTTGGATCCAGTGAGCCCTGAGGCTTCCCTGACAGCTCAACATGGCAGAAGCAATGGCACAAACAACTCAAAGGATTCCCATCCCCACCCTCATCCCAGCTCCACCCCACCCTCATCCCAGCTCCACCCCAACCCCACCCCAACCCCACCCCAACCCCACCCCATGATGGACACACCTCTTTCACCCCCTTCCTGTTATGATCCCTGTGGAGAAGCCACACCAGGCTTCCTCCTGCAGGTGCAGCCAGGCAGGCTCCCGGCAATCCCCATCCCATGGCCACCAAACTGCAACTGCACAAGGGCCCGGAGGGGGCCCACCAGCCAGTGTAGCCACCGCACCAGGAGAATGTAAAGCGGTGGTCTCAAGCCTCCATGTCAGGGCGTATCACACATGTGCCTCAGCAGGCCACCTGTATCCTCAAAAGCTCTGAAGCGTTCACCATCACTGCCCTACACAGGGGTGCATGTGCATTTCAACGGTACTGAGAGCATTCACGTTGTTGCGTGACTGTCATGCCTTGACCTCCACCTGAATTGCAGCCCCCAGCCCACTCTCCAGCCCCTACAGCACCAGTCCACCCTCTGTCTCTGGGAACCTGGCCACCCTGAGTGCCTCCCAGGACAACCCTACAGCATGTGTCCTTTTGTGTCTGGCCTACTTCCCCAGCAAGGTCTTCAAGGCTCATCCACGTGGAAGCACATGTCGGAATTTCATCCTTTTTGGAGACTGTACAATGTCCCACTGTATGGTTAGTCCACATTTTGCTCACCCATCCACTCTCCCACAGATGAAGACCTGTGTGGTTTGCAGAGGCTGCTCTGAGGCAATAAGGAACTAGAGAAGTGGGGCCTGCACCCGTGGACACAGAGCACGGTCCCCAAATGTGGGGATCCAGAGATCCTGCTAGAAACAGAACAGGCAGGGGATGATAAACTCAGGGTAGATACAGTCAGTGACCACCAGGAACCCAGGCTGGAGCTCCTGACAGCCCCTATCACAGCAGGCTGGGCCTCTTCCCAGGGCTTCACTCAGGACAGAGACTAGTGGGGTCCCACACCTGCCTGGGTCCCCTGCTCCAGGGGCCAGGAAAGGTCTGGGAAAGGATCCTAAAGCCAGCCAGGGTTGGATTCACTCTAGAGTTCCTCACAGACACCTGGGGAGGTGAGAAGTAAGCCAAGCGCATGCAGGAGAAGATGCTGCTTCTGGGCGGAAAGGCAAGGGGCGTCACAGCAGGAGGGTGCCTGGCAGAGGCAATGGGCAGCCGGGCAGCCCGGGGGGGATATCCGAAGTTGGCGAGTGGCACCCTACCAACTGGAGTGGGGGAGGTCTAATGGGGGAGGTCTGCTTTGGAAGAAGGGAGGAAACCAGGACAAGCCAACAGGAAGAGCTCCTCGCCAATCAGCTCTGCTTGGCCTGCTAGGCCCAATCTGCAGGGCCCAAGGGCTGCTGGGCCTCATAAGACCACCAGAAGGGCAAGGGCAAGGCTGAGATAGGGGTCATGCTGGGCCTCAGAAGGAGCCACGGATGGAAGCAGGGCCTGCAGACGGAATCACGAACCCGAGCACCAGGAAGGAGCTTGGCCAGCCTCCTGCCCATAGCCACTGTACTCAGGAAACCCCTACAGACAGCCCCTCCTGCCCCACACCCGAGGCACAGCTGGGGACACACGCCCAGAGCACAGGGGTCAGTCCCAGACCTAGGAGACAGCTTCCCCGCTGCCTTGGCAAATGCCGGCCACGGACATCTCCACTTGGAGGATTAACTAGAAGGAGTGAAGCTGAATTTCAACCTGCATTTGGGTTTTCCAGCCTTTAAAGATAAAATGAAAGGCGGAGCGCTCACTGTGACACCGCTTTTGTTTGGAAGTTGGGCCGCAGCTTCCCACGTGTGAAGCAACGAGGCTGAATGTGTGCATTCCTAAGAATGGCTGCATACACTACAGTGCTGTTCCTCAGCGCCCGGGGGACTGATTCCAGACGGCGAGACCCGTGGGTCTGCATCGCTGTGGGCAACGGCACAAAGCTCACACAGAACCTACGCGCGCCCTCCTGCACCGTAAGACATCAGCACACCACGCACAGCCCCAACATCCATGTTGGGAGCAGGCTGTGCTACAGAGAGACACAGAAAGGTCTGTGCACGCTCACTACAGACACAGCTCACAGCTTTCCCCCACATATTTCCAGTCTGTGGTTGTTTAAATCCTTCGAAGTGGAAACCCATCAATGCAGAGCAGCAGTGGTACACTTTCCTCATCAGAAAAAGCTGCACACGCTGGAGATCGCGTTCAAGAGGTGCTTGTGGCTTCTGATCAGGAACAGCTACACCCTGAGACCTCTGAGGCCTCCGGCCAGCAAGGACAGGCTGCTCTCCCTTCAGAAGCTGGCTGGAGCCTCCACCAGCTCCTGGCCCCTTTGCTCCCTAGGAAGTTGCCCTGTCTTCGCAGGCGACCTCCCACCCCGCCCTCTTCCTTCCTTCCAGACTTCTGTTCTCCCAACTTGCCCAGCCAGAGCTGGCCTGCTTTCAAGGACCAAGGCCTGCCCTACCACCCGGCCTCTAAACAGAAAGCCCTCTACCAAGCCCAGAGCCCTGGTCCACACCCAGGTCCCTAGGGACTTCCACATCGGATGGAAACAACTCACTCTCTCTCCCTGGTCTCCAGGAAGCGTGGTCACAGGAAGGCTTGCCAATCAAGAGCCTCCTCCGCCCCTCTGTCCAGGACTCACCTGTGCCTGGTGCAAAGCAAGGCCTCTGTGGGCTCCCCGACCCCAAGGGTCTCTGGGGAGCTCGTAGGAGGTGACAGACTTGAAAGGATTATTTGAAATGCGCAGCGCCGGCCTTCGCTTCTGCTTCGCTCCTCTCGTTAGGAGACTGCAGCGCGGTAGGTCTCAGACTGTGTCTCTAGAGGCCTGGGATGCTTCCCAAGCACATTGTTTCGGTACAGTGACCACACACAGAGAAGAGCCTGACGGTCTTTGTGACTCCAGTGCTGTTAGCGAATGCAGTAAGATCTCCGGACAGAGGCTGGGAGGGACATCCGAAAACTTAGGTCCTGACCCCAGCAGCCTGCCAATGAATTCAGCGCACCAGGGGCCCCTGTGAGCATCTCTCCCTGTGTACCTAACAAGCATACGAGCCACCCCGGTTCTTATTCAGCAGGATACCAGGAGTGCAAAGCATCTGAAAATAAAAACACCGCACAATAGGAAACATTGCGGGATTTAGGGGGTAAACAATTGAGAAAGGGGAGATAACAAGGAGAAAAAGAAAGGGGAAAAAGAGAGAAACGGAAGAAAAAGTGGCACTTGGGGTGAAGCATGAGGCTCCTGAGAAAGCCAGGGTGAGAGGCAAGAGAAGCCGCCTGTGCAGAAGGCTCCTGCCAGCCCGAGAGGAGGTGTCCCGCTTACATGTGCCCCCGGGCTCCCGTGGACAGAAGTGTAGAAGGAAGCGAAGTTTCTGTGGCTTGGGATTCCTGGAGCATGGCCGGGACCCCGCCAGGCCCATCCCTGGTGGCTTTCGCAACTCAGCACAGAGCGGGAAAACGAGGCGAGAATAAGCCCACTGCTTGTACAAATTGTGCGGTGTCCAAGACAGGCCTCCGCCGGGCCACACCCTGGCACCCACAGCCAATTCGGGCAGCTCTTCTTTCAGGGGGACGCTCAAAGCCTGGAAGAGTTTCCTCGGCCCCTAGGTTGGCACTGCATGCCGATATCTGGCCCCAAAGCAAAGGCCTCAAGATCCACGTGTGCTCACCTAGACCAGAGCGCGAGTCCCTTCTTGGCATCATCTGGTCCAGGTTTCAGAATTCAGGAATACTTAATGCGACATCCTTGCTGAAGACTTAGCCAGCCCCTGCATGGTCTCTTCCTGGAATGGAGGCCTCGCTGTCTCCTGAGTTCACCTCATTCTCGCTTAGCAGGATTAACCTCCTCTTCCTCCTGCCCATGCTCTGGGCACTGAGTTTGAACTCTCTTCCTACCCATTCTCGGATAACCTGAGTCAGTGGGAACTGAGAACAGAAGTCGGTCAGTGCAGTCCTGGAGATCATGGCCCGGCTCTCCCGCACTGTCCCCAGACCTCAGGCCAGCCTGGCACAGACTGCTGGCCCTGCCTCTGCTCTGGCTCAGCTCTGCGACCTGGCCTGGACCTTCTGCTCCTGATGCAGGCAACGCCGGTCTCACTCCTGGCTCTGCAGCTCTGCTGGGCACTGAGGGTACGTCAAGAACATACCGCATGGCAAGGCCAAAAGGACAGTCCCAGACTCACCCCTGTCATCTGTCATTAGGCCTAACAGTGAAGGACACTCCAATGTCTCACAGGCAGTGACAATTATGTAGCATTTCATTTGACAAAGGAAGCCCTAGAAGCCCAGAGAGGTCTAATGATTCACTCACCCAAACGCAGCTGAGATTAACAATGTAACTCCCATCTTATTTCCCAGGCCCACATTTTTTTCTACAGCAGTTACTACAAAGCACGACCACATTATGCCTTTCTTCTGAGTATATTTTAGGGTATGCTTTCCATAGTCTATGTGCATTCTTTGCTCAACAGAAATTCATTAAATACTATTATATACTTCGTAAGTATTCTGGTAAAATTTGAAGTTTCCCACAGAGATCTGGGTCTCAGTGTGCCTGGTCACAGATTGTGTGTGTGTGTGTGTGTGTGTGTGTGTGTGTGTGTGTGTGGTTGTGTGTGTTAATTCTCTCCCACAGACACATTAATGATGATAACTAAGACTCCTAATACACCCTGCTGCACATAAAAACAGTCACATTCCACAAAGTCAGGGCCTCTGTCCTATGGGGCAGTCCTCCAACTCTGTTGACATCACAGAGCTGACCGGCTGCAGGCTGGTGCCGCCTCCCACCTGTAGGGCTAATCGGGATGAAAGCAGCGAACGTGGTTAATAGTCACAACTGCAGTGGGGACTCGAGCTGCCGCTAAACTGAATCTCAAAGGTTGATAAGAGTGACCAGGCACGAGAGGCTGGGGAGATAGCTCAGTGATCTAAGCACCTGCCTGGCAAACACAAGAGCCAGGGTTCAAGCCTTGACACCACATGCCATGCTGGCCCCACCCTGAACCCTCCTGGGCACCGAAACTGGGCATGGTGGCACATGCCTGTCATCACAGCACTGGGGAGGCTGAAACAGGAGAATCACTACGAGTCCAAACTGCATAGTGAGACCCTGCACCAAATACATAAATTAAAAAAAAAAAGAATGACCCGGCACAAGAGAGTGTGTGAAAGGCAGGGAGGACAGCCCTGGCAGGCAGGTGGATGTGCACAGCTGGGCCAAGCCGAACACCACACACAGGGAGAGGCAGGCAGGTGAGGAGGGTCCCAAAGCCACTGTCTCAGGTTAATGAGTTTCATCTGACCCTAAACACAATGGAATTTCAGGGGGGAAAAAACCAACAGGAGACTAAATACGAAGGTTAACAACTGGATGCAGGTGCCCAAGCGAGCAGCTGCTCTGTAGCCGGGGATGAACGCATGAGCCCCAGGGCGGGCAGTGCTGAGGAAGGTAAGGAGCCGGGCGTGCGGCGCACACCTGCAAGCCCAGCACCTGGGAGGAGGCTGCAGCAGGAGGATCACCTGCGCTTGAGAGCAGCACGGGCTGCACAGTAAGTTCAAGGCCAGCCTGGACCACAGGGCAAGAGCCTGTCTCAAAATGGGAGAGCGAGAAAGAGAGAGAGAGACCAACAGACAGACACAGAGACAGAGACAGAGACAGAGACAGAGACAGAGACAGAGACAGAGACAGAAAGACAGAGAGAGTGAGAGTGAGAAACAGAGAAGATATCACCCAGCAGTCAAGTCCAAATAAGGCGACATCAGAAACAAGAAAGCCAGAAACACATGGGAAGGAAAGGGATTAAGGGCCGCAAGTGGACCAAGGAGCAGGCAGCCCCACAAACCAGAACAGGCGCCAGCCAGCACGCGTCTCAGGTGGGCAAGCTGGCTGACCCTAAGCAGAGTGCACTACACCCAGCCCCAGCACTGCAGGGCCCTCGTGACACCTGGAAGTGCTCCCTCTGGTCGGGCGGACTGCAAGCAGGCCATGGGGAGCAGCCCGGCGCAGAGCCGCAGGCACGTGGACCCAGGAGCACGGGCACGCGCAGCAGCTGAGTAGGAACAGCTGGCAGGAGGGGGACGGTGTGGGCGGAAGGGGCAGCTCTGCCGTGCTGGCCACTCAGAGCTGGCTGACGCTAACCCCCATGCACCGGGCACACAGCTATTCTCTCCTGGAGTTCACAGCCAAAGATGACCGATGAGGAGGACGACGCTGGGAGCCCAAAGTAACTTATTTTCTTGTTGCAGGAAAACACTGATCTAGGCAAGTCTGAGCCGTCTTAGAATTGGAGGCTCCTGACATTATCATCCAATTCCAGGAAACCCTGGTACTATTTCTGCAACATAATTTTTCTTAAAATCAGGGTTTCCTGGCCTCCAGGATGGTCCTTAGAGTGAGCCCAAGTGAGCACCTCCGCAGAGGCCATGGCCAGCAGAGGCAGGGGGATCCTGGCGGACGTCAGGAGTTTCCGCTGCACACCACCAACGCGCCACAGGCCTGGAGCCGCCCTGAGGGAGGTTCTTGGGTGTAAAGATCTGAGACTAAAACATTTCTCTCTGTTTGTGCTAATGCTAAGCCAGGGCCAACAAAAACATCAATTACCATCTTCCAGGCCCTCTAATTTGGCCCTGAATATGAGCTCCTACAAGATGGGGGGAAATGTTCAAAGTGATGAACACAAGCCAATGTGTCAGGCCCGTCTCTGAATTTCTGGGTCATGGCTGTTTTAAATTAGATTCTCAGTGCTATTTCTATGAAGCTACTGGCTTAGCCTGCAATGGAAAAGCTATTTTTGTGCTCTGAGCCTCAGATACTGATGTGGAGGCACAGCCCTAACTCCCATTATGTTCGGTTTGCATAATGTTCTCTTCCTCTACTGAAGAACAGTCAAAGCTATCATCACCCTCACACTGGATGAGCCTGCTTCGCAAAACTCAGCCTGCTCTGAGACAAACACCGGTACCACAGTACCCAGATAAATGACTTGTGAGGCACCGTAACGCGGATCCTAGGAGTGGTGAATTTTTTGAGGAACACATCCAGGTCTTCCTCGGATGGCAACGGGTTCTTTGCCAGTTCTACACCTCCGCTACTTCTCCATGGCTCACGGCCTTGCCTGACCCTCTCAGATAAACCCAGCCCGAGAAGCGACATTTACACCTTCCCCACTCCCTATCCCAGGGGTCCGTGCGTTTAAATGTTCTCTTATAATAAAATGCAGGTTGTTTCTCCTTAAAAGGCAGAAGTACCACCAAATAAGCTTCTTTAAAAGAAGCGAGGTTCTTAAGTAACAAGACAGTTACTTAAGAACTGGAGGGCAGAGCCCAACTGGCGGGCAGGGCCGCGACTGGTTCCACCCTGAGGTGCTATTGGACAGGCGCCTGGGTGCAATTGGTTCCACGCTACAGCGCCATTGGGCCTGCCTGGGGTGCGACTGGTTCTACCCCGGGCCATGGGCCGCCCCAGAGTGACTCTGCATGAAAAGTGTATATGAAGTAGTTGAGGAAGGCTTCCTGGCCGCCCTGTCCCCTTCCTTGGAGCAGTCCCAGTCTTGGGAGGAGCTTGACCTTCGCAGCCTCCACAGCCGCACCACTTTGGAGGAGCTATGATCTTCGCGGTAGAGCGCCGGTGTAGAAGGAAAAGCTTGAATGGCGCCGCAGCTGCTGCTCCTCTCTGCTTTTCATTATCTTCTGCTGCCATGAACTGCTGCCTTTTGCTTTGGAGCCAGCTGACTATGAACTGAAACCTCCATAAACTATGAGCTGAATAAACCTTTCCTTCCTTCATCTAGAGTATTGGGTATTCTGTCCCAGCACTGGGTAAAAAGTAACTAAGACAGGGGCCGAAGGCTTACCAGTGGATCAGTCCACTGATGAGTTTATAC